GATCAAGGGCATGTTGGTCGATTCCGTGTCAAGTGTTGCAGGTTCTATCCCTGGCTCTGGACATGATTCATGCTGAAGGTAACCGATTGATGCGACTCACATCAATGTTTCTCTCTTTCTCCGTCTGCCCACCCTCCTTCTCTCCCTTGCACTCTCTTTAAAAAATTAACGGAAACAAATATCCTTGAGTGAGGATTCACCAAATAAATAAATAAACTAGAGCCACTCTACATGAGATAGTGTGAATAAAAAGCTCCACTGCTTTTTATTTTATTTTACTTTATTTATCTTTTATTTATTTATTTTTTAAAATATACCATTATCAATTTCAGAGAGGAAGGGAGAGGGAGAGAGAGAGATAGAAACATCAATGATGAGCGATTGATCAGCTGCCCCCCCGCACGCCCCCTATTGGGGATCAGCCTGCAATCCCGGCATGTGCCCTTGATCAGAATTGAACCTGAGACCCCTCAGTCCACAGTATGACACTCTGTCCACTGATCCAAACTGGCTATGGCCATGTGTTCTTTTAGATTGTTCAGAGCTGGCCTGGGAAGCCAAGCAGGAAGAGTAAAGGCTGATCCTATGGTGGTCAGAACAGGTGTCTGACACCTGGAAGGACTGGATCTGTCTCAGGTCCAGTCACTACCACCGAACTGAAGAGGTAGCCTTTAGGGGAACCGCAATGCCGTAGGGGAACACTGGGTGTTCTGGGGAATTTGAATCATAATGACGTTTGAGTTTTAATAAGAAAGAGTCTTCAGGAATTTATTTTTGGCGACAGCAAGGTGGACTGTTAAAATAGCTACTCAAGTCGTCCAGAAAGACCACCTGTGACCAGAGCCACCTGGGAAGAGCAGGGACCTGGGAGAGAAGGAAACAAGGCAAGGGGCCTGCAAAGATTTGTGCTGTTATGAACCCAGATGGGAGATTCTTGGGATCAGGAGGTTCGAGAATCTTGCAAAGCTCTCCTCCACTTCTCCTGCATCAGATCTGAAGATTAGATATTTATATGTTGGAAATCCAATTTCCTTTGTTTATTTTCTTCTCTGCTTGCGAGTTCTTTTAAAAACCTGCTGACTGGTCTTGGCATATCAAGAGAAAGCAGGTGAAATGACCGACTTCACAAACGGGCTTTACTTACACAAAGGATTGTCTAAGGGCCAAGCCCCCCCCCCCCTTGTGTGCCTGGGACTGGTGGCAGCAGCTGAAGATTAGATATTTATATGTTGGAAATCCAATTTCCTTTGTTTATTTTCTTCTCTGCTTGCGAGTTCTTTTAAAAACCTGCTGACTGGTCTTGGCATATCAAGAGAAAGCAGGTGAAATGACCGACTTCACAAACGGGCTTTACTTACACAAAGGATTGTCTAAGGGCCAAGCCCCCCTCTTGTGTGCCTGGGACTGGAATTAAAGTGAGAAATTTCTAAGATCTAGATACTGTTCTCGAGCCCTTTATGTCTAGGAGTTTCTTCTAGAGTTAATTTTTTTTGTTTAAATGTTGAAGCCTGTTTTCATGGCAGGCTGTATCACTCCCAAATGGCGACAGCCCAACATTTCATCCCACAAGCTCTTCATGCAATGGGCTGGGGAGACTGCTCCTCCTGGGAGGTGGGGATCTACGTTCTCTGCCTTGGAATTGGGGCAGGGCTTTCCCTTTGGCAGAAGTGATGAATTGCCTCTTCCAAGGCTAGGACAGGAAGGGATTCCGGCTCTTGGAACCCAGCCACCATGCTGTGAGGAAGCCCAAGCTGCCTGCGGAGAAGGCTACATGGAGAAGGACTGCGGTTCTTTGCCTACAGCCCGTGCTGGCAGCCAGCCCCACCTTGCTGGCCATGCGAGTGAGCCATCTTGAAAGTCCGACTTCCACCCTGTTGGTGCGATGTCATATGAAGTAGAAAAAAAGCCGTCCACACCAAGCTCTGCCCAAATCGCAGATCTGTGAGCAAATGAACGACTGTTGTAGCGTGAAGTCACTACATTTTGTGATTTTTTAAAAACAATATGGCAAGAT